CCCCTCCTCCTCCAGGCCGGTGGCTGCTTCAAGCTGTCAGGGAAAACGGGGCTATAAAGCAGAGAGGGACGGGACTCTGAGGAGGCTGTTGGTGCTGAGGACACACACACATACACATACACACACACACAAACGGTTCGTGAAACCTCTGCCAGACTGAAACTCGGATGATTCAAAGCTTTCAGTCAAATGACATCGGACACTTGGATATAAGGAAGAAACTTCACATTTTTTTCTTGTTAAGTTGTTCAACCACTCGCTCCGAGTCGACAGTGGCTTCTTGAAAACAGTCGCAACGCGGAGGTCTGAGGGAAATATTTCGCGGAGAGACGGAAAGAGAGGGAAGGATTGGGATGCTGGTTCCGCGCGCGCTCCGCTCCTTGCTGTGCGTCCTGAGCTGCGCGTGGCTGCACACCGGAGCGGCCTCGCGGCTCAAGTCCCCCGCTCTGCCCATCCAGTCAGAGAGAGAGCCGCTGCCCTTCAAAGGCTTGTCGGGTAAGATAATTAATCATTACAACTGTCTTTTCTTATAGCTACAAACGTTTCATATTTGATGTTATAGCCCAGTAGAAGAAGCACATGACGGTAGCGAAACTCCGTTCATGAAAGCGTCATTTCTGATGGAACAAGTCCTGGGTATGTTGTCTTTGTGACTTTAAAGTAACTACATATTTATAATGAATTAATAGAAGCCGGTATTCAATTCGGCTACTATCCAACACAGCAAGCAACTTACTTTTACCAATAATTTCAAACTTTAAACATGCATATCCCTGCATTTGACCCGACACGCCAAAGGGAGGCAGTAGCGAGCGCTAGCGAATTATCACTTTAAAAAGTCCAGATTTTATTTAAATTAATGCTTTTTAAAACCTAACAATAACGCCGAATTGAAGTGAAGACACTACTACTGTTATCAGAAGTAGTATGGATATGTTGTATTCATATTTTATGCTTAAACAAACAAGAAAACTATAAATTGCCTCCATGATGTATGGGATTCTGCGCTGCAGGTCATGAACTCTAGTCTCCTGAGTTCAGCTCTCTGTAAAGCTGCATGCGACTGTGAAGCGGCTTAATAGTCCTAGTGGTTAATATTTTTTTTTAAATATTTGTCATACAAAATTGAGTTTAATAAAAAATGGTGCTTTTAACTTCCCCCACTATGCACAGCCAATTTCCCTGAATTTCCATGTATACACGAAAATGTTCCTCAGCGCCTGGGTTGCTCATGTGTTAACTAGCGGCAAACATCTGAGTCATAACCGCAGTGAATGCCATTTGATTCATGTGTGAAAAAAGCCCCTACGTACAAAGCTCATTGCGGTTTTTACAAGGTAACTACTCTTGGAGTTCAAAACTGTGGGAACTCCACGGTTATAACCACTGCAGCCTCTCAACGTGTAATTCACTCGCTGGAAACTGTAATCAATCGACTTTCCATTACAAGCATTGGCTCCTCCGAGATGATTTATTTCAGCAGAGACAGAAGTGGCAGGCAAAGCGAGCGGCTCACAGTTTGGCTCCCTTTAACCGGACTGGACTGTTTAAAGTTGTGTAGTCACTGTAATGAAAGAATAATGTGAACCAGGTTGGTAGCAGCGAGAGAGGCAAAAAGGTTTTCAGCTCCAGTGCAGTTGGAGAGGGGTAACATCACGTTTCAGACCACACACACTTCTTACAGCCACTTATCCTGACCAAAAAAAAAAAAAAAAACCCCACTATAATATCCCTGTAGTAACTCAGCGTGACTAACACTCAATTATAATTGTAGTATAGTAATAATAACACTAAAAACTATTTTTATGTCCTGTAACATCAATATACAATGCACTCCCTACACAATAGAAAAGTGATGTGTTTTATTTTCTATAGTTATGACTCCACTCCTGAAGTGAAACAGTGACTATAATTAAGTAGGTAACTGTCCTACTGTTTTTTTTCAGGCAGTATTTTTTTTTATTTTTATGAAATGACATCTGAAAATCTCTTTTACAAGGTTTTGGCCTACATTGTGTGCATTTCTGGGAATCTCTTGATAATCTTTCAGTGGAAAATTGAACGTCTCCCCGCGCTTGCTCATGGATCATTAAGATGAGACAGGATGCAAGGTTGAGTCCCAAAACTCATGAGGCATCCAGGGAGTTTCGGTCGCCTCCAAAATGCCAGGGCAGTGAGCTGTGCGAGATTTATTTGTTGAAAAATATTTAAAGTTGGTACAGTGGTCCAGTCTGTGTAGTTTGTCATGCTGGAATCTGACACTTAATAAAAGTCAGGGAGTTTCACTTTTAAATATCAGGAACTTTATGTAAGTGAAAAAAAAAGAAAGAAAGAAAAAGCCCTCTTCTGAAACTGAAGTCTTCTTAATTAATTCAAGCGTCATTTAAAAGGGCAAAACCTCGCATGTAATCATGTCATTTAACTCAGTTTCTAATCGAGACCGTGTGTTTGTGTTGCAGGATGCTCATTTGGAGGTCGGTTCTACTCCCTGGAGGACACATGGCACCCAGATCTGGGGGAGCCGTTTGGCGTCATGCACTGTGTCCAGTGCCACTGCGAACCTGTGAGTTTTTATCTCAGTCTCTCTCTCTCTCTCTCTCTCTCTCTCTTTTCTACGTACACAAGGGGTTGTGAATCTGTTGTATGACGCAACCTGTTCCTCTCGCCTCGTGCAGCAAAAGAGTCGCCGTGGGAAGGTGTTCGGGAAGGTCAACTGTAAGAACATCAAACAGGACTGTCCGGACCCGAACTGTGATGATCCAATCCTCCTGCCGGGGCACTGCTGCAAAACCTGCCCTAAAGGTATACACACACACACACACACACACACACACACACACACACACACACACCTCCTCACTGCTCTGTGGTTTTAACTCTCTGGAGTCTGTCTGTGGTCGCTGGTTTATTTACAGTAACAATAACTTTACAGGCAAGCTGAGGAAATCAGTTTAAAGTGCTGCTTCCTCACACAGTCTGCAGATCATACAACATTTTTTGAAAGAAAGAATTGTCAATATTTACCCATAATTCATAATTTAGAGAAAAAAAGTAGTTGGAATAAAATCCCTCAGCATGTAAATAGACTGAATTATAGTTTCAATTCTTACATGTTTCTGCTATATTGGTACATAACCCAAGTGTTATTTCATATATCTTTGCTTCCCTGCAGATTATAATTTGTCAGACTCATAGCAGTGTTTGTGCTGAAAGAACAGATGCAATGCAAAGGGCTAGAGTTGGTTTGAAATGTGCTACACAGAGACAGAAATGGATGCATAAGGGTTAATACTGTTCAAATTAAAGCTTTTAACGGTAGCTGTCCACTTGAAATGAGAAAACAAGCAGGCACAGTTTAAATCACTATAAAAACCCTTATGGGAAAATGAACGCTCTCCTCCTTTGCCACGGCGATGGCTTCTTTCCCACAGTTTTGTTTATTCTTTGTTTGAATCATACCTCTCTCTCTGGTTCCTCCATTTTTCCCATTGCACTCTCTTTTTTTTTTTTTTTCACTCCTCCCTCTCTGGGTCAACTAGTTAGTCTTCAGAACAGCTGCTGGACACGACGAGCGGGTCAATCGATTTTCCATTCAGCCGTCATCTAATAAGACATTTTCTCCAACCAGCTGCAACTGAACGTACCACCCATCTATTCACACGTTCGCCACTTACACAATCCCACCTTATTAGAGAATTAGAGCTCCCCTGCACATGCTCACACACACACACACATACACACACACACAGGGTGGGTCTTCATGCCGCGCTGTTATTCAGCAGATTGGGTGTTTTTTTTTATGCCGTGGTGTGTCTGGTAATGGAATGGAAAGTAAAGGTAAAGCACCGCGGGGACAACACTGCGCTGTGTGTTGTGGTCAAGTTTTAAGGAAAAGGTTGAGTGTGTTTGTCTTACCTTTGGCACCGACGCAGCGAGTATGTTTGTGTAAGTGATGGAAAGTGATGTTTGTGTGTTTATATATACGCGTGTGTGTGTATGTGTGTGTGTGTGTGTGTAATGACTGGTGCACCTGAGGATACAAGTGCTGCTAAGTGGGGAGAAGTGAGAGTGACGTTGCCCAGAAGCCCTTCAGCGTGCCCAGTGGAGCAGAGGAGTGAGTGAATGATGAGATCTGAGATGTGTGGGTGGCATTTATATATATATATATATATATATATGTGTGTGTGTGTGTGTGTGTGAGTGTGAGAATCAGACACCAAGAAAGAAAGCAGACACCCAGCTGAGCTCCTTGGAAAACAACTTTGGAGGAATAAAGTTGACTAAGAGGCCATGTGTGGTTTTCTTTCTCAAGATCATGATGGTGTATTCAGCTGAATGACCATGTGTTACTGTGTGTGTGTGTGTGTGTGTGTGTGTGTGTGTAAAGCATTGGGGTGTACACATGACATCAGGGTTGGACCGGGACAGAAATTCATCCCTGGACTTAATCGTTAATCGCTGAGGGGGTGGGGGGGGGGGTGGGGGTGTTAGCGGTGGAGGGGGGTGTCGGAAAGGATTGAAACTTCTCGTTTGTGATTGGCGTGCACACACGCTCTCACAGACACACACACACACACACACACACACACACACACACACCTGGAATGACAGGTAGACAGAGAGAGAGGGTAAAGACACCGGCGGTCCACCGGCCCGCCGCTGCCAGTCCGACACTGCATGACGTCAGGATGCTCAGCAGCTTGTGTGGAACAGCGGGTCATTGTTGGGATCGCACACCAGCGTCACTCCCAATTCTCCTTAAGCTGTTTCAGCTGCAAGAAACTACCCCAGCTAGTTACCCCTGGCCGAGAGAGAGAGGGAGAGAGAGAGAGGGAGTGGACTTTAACCTTCACCACTGGCTTGAAATTGGCGTCTGACATCCTCTAAATCATTCCTCGTCCGCGCATTTCACACTCTTTATCCTTACTCAAAACATAGTCGAGGAGGAAAAAAAAAAAAAAGAAGTGCACAGCCGCTGCTTTTAGTCTCATTTGTGCACCAGACTTTGGAGAGCGACTGGAGCAGAATGTGTTTTGAAATGTTTGGGTTCACATGGTTTATCTTGCCAGAAATGAGAAAAGCACTCGCGGTAACGGTGCTCCTTCCAGAAAATTGAAAACGAATAAAACATGTTCGTATTTGTACAAAATCAGATCAAATTAGACTTGATTTAGGTGAGTAACCAGAGGCCAACAACAGCTATATATACTGGCAAACTGCACACGGTGTATAACATCTACTCTACTCTATATATTTGCTTTATATTTCTGAGTGTTCAGCAGGTATCTGGGCTTATTTAACTGTTTTCCTTTTCCCTTCTGCAGATGATGACAAGAAGCAGACGGACTCTGTGCTGGAGAGCTTTGAGTATTTCCATGAGAAGGGCAAAGAGAAGGAGGACGACCTCCACAAATCTTACAATGACAGATCTTACCTGAGCTCTGAGGACATGGGGCCCGGGGAGAGTCGCACCGGTGAGCAGCAGCACTTTATTAGACAGTTGAGACACACCACGAACACAAGGAGCACAACATTAAAAAAAAAAACAAACAAAAAACAGGAATGCTTATTATGGCATGTGTTTAAAATATCTTTAAATCCCTCCTCCTGCAGATTTTGTAGCCGTGCTGACGGGAGGTACAGACTCATGGAGCTCCAGTGGTGTTGCCAGAGCTCGCTTCTCTCTCACCCGAACCAGCCTGGCCTTCTCCATCACATACCAGAGGTAAAACACACCGTCTGCCGGAGCTGAAATGTCTGCTCTGAATGAATTTTTCTTTTTTTTTGAGTTTTAATTTAGCGCCGCTCATCCTGACTTCCCGGCTCCTCGAGCGTTTATCTGAAAACAAACTTGGAAGAGTTTAGAGCAGCAAATTTAACTGAAGATGTTCTGATTTTTCTGCTGTTTGAAAGGTAAGAATACGGAGTTATTAACCTATATGTTCCCTTTTTGTTTGTCTCCCTTCACTTTGCAGAATGAGCCGTCCAAGTAAAATAGTCTTCCTGGATTCAGATGGGACCACTGCCTTTGAGTACAGGGTTCCCAAGGGACAGTCAGACATGGTGAGAGCCACTGTCACATAAACAGAAAATAATCTTTCTTCCGTTGGTGTTGTTTTTGTTACGTGTGCATGTGTATCTGTGTATTTCCTGAGAGAGCGAGAGAGAGAGAGAGAGATGAAGTGTCGGTATGATAAGTGGTCTCACATGCTCAAAATCTGACTTCGTCTCTCGTAACTCGCCCTGCAATAACAAATGATAAACACACACACACACACACACACTGACACTTCCTTCCTTGTGCTTCATTGGCTCTTTGTAAACATCGTAAACTCTGATTGTGTGACTGCGGTTAACGTCGACACTCGCTCACCATCAGGTTTGACATGAACAAGACTGCGGTTTAATAAAAAAAAAAAAAGCTCAGATATTATCCTGATAAATCAGAAAACTAATATGTTGGTGTAACAGTAGTACCCATTCATGCAGGTCCACACGCTCCCTCCATCACTACACATCATTTCCTGCCAAAATACACACATCTCCTCATTGCATTTCAGACCCCAACACTCTGCTCAGCGAGGCGGGAGCCCCCTAAATACAGGTCCCAGAAACTGGCCTATTATTATTTTTAGATAAATGTCAGTGTCAAGCACCGGAGGACCTTAGAGAAAACACTCTGGCACAAAAAACGGAAGAGGAGGAGGAGGGGGAAGGAGGAAGGAGGAAGGAGGAAGGGGGTGGGGGGGTTGAGGGAGTTTGTTGGAGCAAAAACTTTTGGAAAGGGAGAATTTTTCACACGTTACATCACCGCTTAGCGGGGGGACAGAGAGAGTATCGCTAATTAAAATGGAGATTACCCCTGAACTCTTGAGTTATGGGGTGCCGGCACACCGCCACATTTCTTCCCTCCGCTGTCGAGAAGAAGTCGCGGTTTTATGGTTAACGTTTGCGGCCTCGGGGTGGGGGGGTTGGGGGTTGAGAGCGCGATCACATGATTTGATGTATTTAGCAGATGTGCGCGTGTTGTCTGTGTCTGTTTGCGCCCATGTACAGTCCTGTCTTCGCTTCACCTGCCTGTTTGTGTGTGTGTGTGTGTGTGTGTGTGTCTGCAGATCTGTGGTGTGTGGAAGAACCTGGCCAAGCCTCTAATGCGACAGCTGCAGTCTGAACAGATGCGCATCCGCATGACTACGTCGACGAGCCGGCGAGAGGAGGTGGAGGGGAAGATCATCAAACACAGAGCTCTGTTCGCTGGTGCGTGTGCATGCAGGATATTCTAGCATTTCATTTTGTAATATTCTGCACGCCTTTGTTTTTGTGTTGCAGCACACAATAAACTCAATATTTACAAATCAGTATAATTGTATACATTCTCATGTAATCTTAAAAAGCCTCGCGTGGATTAATGTAGTGCAAAAGTGAGGGCTTTGTTTACAGAGGAGGATTTGTATAATAAAACTGTAAGAGAATACAGACAACTCAGTATGTTAAACGTGCGTGTGTCTCATGTGCAGAGACGTTCAGTTCAACGCTGACATCCGAGCAGGAGAATTCAGGCATGGGAGGCATCGCCATGTTGACGCTGAGCGACACAGAGAACAACCTTCACTTCATCCTCATCCTGCAGGGACTCGTCACACACAAAGACAAAGGTGAGAGAGAAGGGCGGCGGGAAAAGAGAATACGGTGACGCTTAAGACGGAGAGAAACCCGAGGATGGATCATTAAGGTCACAAAAGGTCACAAGCTGTCACAACAAACACTGACCTTTCATTCCTCCTTTTAAAAACTACAAGCTGGGCTTTTGGGATCATTATAAATTACACCCTCATTTATTTGAAATCCTTTTTTTCTTTATTTTTACTTCATGATCCGTTCAAACAACATGATGGTTTCTTAAGACCTTTTCCATCCAATCCTCCTGTGGGACTCAAGTGAAACCAAAAGTAATGAATCTAATGAGTGAACACAAATAAAACCAAAGCAATGAAGCAAATTTAAATCATAGACATCCAAAAAATACTAATAAAGTTAAATACAAAAAGTTAAAAAAGTAAATAAATAATGCATAAAATTGTCCTTTATTCTATGAAGTTATTTTCCTTTTAATACCTTCCTTTTATTTCTGGTTATTTATTTTATTTCTACTTTTGTTTCTGATTTTACTCACTTCCAAACATCTCCTCTGTTTTAGTATTTTATTATTTCATCTTTATCACCCTGTCGTTATCTTTGATTTCCGGTCTTCAGCGTTTCCTCAGTTCCTGTTATTGTTGTCTTATTTCTATTGTTTTTATTTATCACCTGGTCATTTATTGTTCTAAGTGTAAATGTGTTGGGCGTGTGTGTGTGTGAGTGTGGGGTTGTTTTTTTTTATTGCTTTTATTCTGTGTGCTAAACAAGTAAAGTCCTATTGATGAGTGATTGATTGATTGATTGATTGATTGATTGATTGATTGATTGATTGATTGATTGATTGATTGAATGAATGAAACCAATCCAGATAAATAAAACCAAAAAGTGGGGTGTGCCTTTCTATCTCAAATCCCTTTGTAAAAAGGGGTACGAGAAAAAGAAACAAAATGCACCTTCAACCTCTAAAACCTTCTTCAATCATTGAATTTGAACAGTTGATTATTAGTAAGTATTGATGAGAACTGTCTCTCTCTCTCTCTCCTATCAGAGCCTCTTGTGGTGCCCATCCGAGTGCAGCTCGTGTACCGCCAACACGTCCTGAGAGAGATCCGAGCCAACATCACCTCTCACGTGAGTGACGACACACATTTACCTCTGAGTCTACGCTTTGATAAACACCGGCTTTTCAAGATGGCCGCCAATATTTTTTTTCGTATTTCCTGCAAATTGTTTCGGAAAAAAAAAAAACAAAAAAAAAAACAGCTGATCAACACGTGAAGTAAGTGGTGAGGTTTTAGGGAAAAGTGTTATCTTGGAGGAGGAGGAGGAGGAGGAGGAGGAGCAGTGAGTGAAGGAGGAGCAGTGAGTGAAGGAGGAGCAGTGTTGTTGTCGTCGGTTAGGAACATATGACACAGCAACACCCCCCCCCCCCCCCCCCCCCCCCTCTCCTCGTCTCTCCTCTCCTCTCCGAGAGACGGATGTGGTTTGGTCACCACATCCCCAGCGCTGTTGTTGCCGCCGCCGCCGCCGCTCTGATCACAGCTAGCTAACCTGAGACGTGTCAAGAAGAAGAAATGGATGGAGAGAAGAGTGACACGGGGAGGGATAACAAGAGGAGAGAAAGTGTGTGAGCGGAGCTTTTTGCAGGAGACAGATGTGAGCGAGGGATGAGAGACACAGAGGAAAAGAGGGGAGGGAGGGAGGTGGAGGGGATGGACTGCGTACACACTCCGCACACATGTCAGTGGTTAGTGGTCTGTGGGCTGAGATGGATGGAGGGAGGAAGGAGGGAAGAAGAGGAGGAGGAGGAGTGATGAAAAGCGGGTCTGTTTTTAATTCTGCCAGGAATTGCATGAAGGGCCGATGCGCTCCTTTCAAGCCGAGCGCCGAGAGAGACTGTCCGTGAAAAATATGTGAAAGGTTTGAGCTCGGCAAACACGACCTCTGCGAGTGTCCCCCGAGCGAGACGCCGAAACCAAACCGCTGACTCATCCCCCAAGTCCGGCTGAGTCACGGCGGCCTGTAGCACGCAGCGCTCTCAGCTGAAAGTGATGCGACTCTTAAAAAAAAAAAAAAACACACATAGACAAGAATTTGATTCTTAAAATGTGTGAAGTCATTTTTTTTTTTTTTTTACTGGACCAATAATCCTGACAGTGTTACAGCTCTGCCTGATTTACACAAGACCCCAATATATCCTTCCTCGCCTGACTTCTCCCTCATTATTCTCTCCATTCATTCTCCCAAATACAAGTCACCCTCGCTCTCCCCCTTCTCTCTCCCCCTTCTCTGTTTTGGCTCCTCACCGTGTGGATTTATGGTACATGTATATTTATATTGAACCGAGGCCCCGAGGTCATAAAAGTAACATTTCTTCAACACGCTCGTACATCTGTCCTATTAATCCAGCATTTCTCAACGTCCCGTTCCTGCCAGAGTCCAGTCGGGCCTGCTTGAAATTAAACTCTACTCAATATGAAACGTGTTAAGGCAATGCGGGCCATATTTTTTGCCCAGGGTTCAGGCATGCACTTATGAGCGCGGTGATTTAAAATCTGTGTTTTTTATGTAACACAACTGTCAGTGTCTGTAATGGATTCTGACATTGTGATGCTTTTGTGATTGCTGAATTAATCTCATCAAGAGGAGACTTTACTGTCCTGGGATCTATTTTGCTCTTGGGGCTCAGCTTGTTTTTGTTTAGTATAAACTGATGTGACAAGTTCAATTTAGTTGGAAACAAATCTGCTCTGCCTTTTTTTTTTTTTTTTTTTAAAGCTTCATATCGTCTAAAGGTCTCTGTCCATGTGTAGTGTGATTATAGATCAGCTCTAGGTTCTATATTAATACTGTGAAAGTATCAAAGCCTCAGTCCACAGAGAAATGCACACAGCCTGTATTCAGAAACTGAGCCTTAAAACCAGCCGTCAGGACTTCCTGTAACTTTGTGATGTCACAACAAGGCAGTCAGTCATGCCCTAAACCCCGCCCACCCGGACCCACCATCCAAACCTTGCAGGATTTGGTTTCTCTGAGTGTTTTTACCTGAAATCTGCTAAATTTTTATTCAGTCACTCAGAAAACAGTCAACCAATCAGAAGAGAGGCTTAGAGCCTCCTCTCTTCTGATTGGCTCACTGACCTGTTGTTACTGGAGCTCCAGAGAGAAGCCTGAGAGAGGAGATGGAAAACCACATCAAGATGGTTTTTGGTTCTTAAAACCACAAATATATCTTCTTATGGATCAACACTTCAACATAAAACACAGGAGAAGAAGAAAATATGGAGCTTTAATTACGTTGTTGTCAATATAAAACTTAAATTTCTGGTGCTGAAAAGATTTTTGTTCACACTGGAACAGAGCTTTGTATCTTAACTATTTCAATCTGTGCAGGATCCAGATTTTGCTGAGGTGCTGACAGACCTGAACAGCCGCGAACTCTTCTGGCTCTCTCGCGGTCAGCTGGAGATCGCCGTGGCGACAGAGGACCAGGATCCCCGACAAATCTCCGGATTCATCACCGGCAGGAAATCTTGTGACAGTAAGTGAACCCCCCCCTCCTTTCCCTCCCGCCTTCGTGCTAACAAACTACCTTCACACGGGTGACAGACATGAAAGCTTTCAGCGAGTCGCTGCTCGACGCAGTAGATGCAACAAACACGGCGGTCGCTAAGAATGTGCTTTCGCGTCGCAGTTGGTTTGTGTTCGTGCATCTGTGGCTGTTTTTGTCATTGTCCTCTATAAATACTTCTTTTTTTTTTTCTTCCTGTCTCCATCCTTTCAAGTCTTATCGCTGGGGGGAACCATGTTTATAGACCTTCTGTTTGACTTGGTGGCCCACCAAGACTGTGTATGCATGTCCGTGTGTGTGTGTGTGTGTGTGTGTGTGTGTGTGTGTGTGTGTGTGTGTGTGTGTGTGTGTGAGAGAGAGACACGGAAAGACAAGTAGTTTCAGGAATGTTGTGGACAGCCCAATCGCCTGAAACCGTAAAAAGCACGCACACATGGTCTTTTTTCACGGGATGCATACTTGAACATGAACATCGAACACCAGCGCCATGAAACACTTTTCATTGCACAACACGAAACAAATATGTGCGCACAAACACACGCAAATATGCATAAAGATGTTTTTTTAAAAAAAAAAATCTTTCTCACACACACACACACATGCACACACACATGCTCTCTCACACACTGGTGCTGCCAAGGTCACAGTCTGCTGGACCTGACTCTCCATGCTGGTGTTCCATTGCTGTGATTAACAGCTTGACGTTATGTGTGAAGAATTCAAACCTAACACACTCCTTTCCTTCCTTTCCTCCCTCTCTTTCGCTCTTTCGGTTCACCTCGTCTTGTGTGTATCGTTGGCGTCCTTCCTCCTCTCTGGCTTTTTTCTGTCTCCGTGTCATTTCAAAAAATTCTTCTCGGCACTTTTTTCTCGTCCGTCTCTGTTACTCATTCCCTCCTGTCCTCTCAGCTCAATCTTTGTAAGCCTACTGCATTCAACAAGGGTTACCTCATTCTAAGGCTTAACCTTGGGTGGGTTTTTAGTGTGTGTGTGTGTGTGTGTGTGTGTGTGTGCACCAGTCAGCGTTTCAACATGTATGTTTTTGGCTCAAGGTCTCACACAATTACACAAGCAGAAACGCCTCCTGATTAGTGCTTCAATTGAATCTGTCCCCTCAATGACTCTCTCTCGGTGAAGGGATGACTTTATGGGCATGTGGCTTCAGTGTGTGTGTGTTTGTGTGTGTGTGTGTGTGTGGCTGCAGAACGTGAGGGAATGTAAACGTCCCCTCCGTCAACCGACCAGCAAATTTTTAACATGACATGAAATCGTTGCCTCATCTCGCATGCTGTCAGGCTCCACTACAGTTTAAAGGAGGGAAACTCCGAGGGGAGAAGCGATGGGTTTCAGATAAGTAACGTGAGCGGGAATGAGCTTTTTTTTTTTTATTATTTCTATTTTTTTTTATAATAATCTGTCTTTGTCTGTTTCAGCTATTCAGAGTGTGATGTCCAGCGGTGATGCACTGACGCCGGGGAAGACGGGAGGCGTGGGATCGGCCATCTTCAACCTCCACGACAACGGCACGCTGGACTACCAGGTGAGGTCATGGTCACTTTTAGGAGGGAGATTGTTGTTTATCAGACTTTCTTTGGGGGATTCAGTAGATGAACAAAAGTCCACTGTAATTATTTATTCTTATGTCCCACCTGTAAGGTTAATTGTGGTAAAACTGTCATATTTACTGTGTCGTAGAGGCGTGACCTTGTTGGAAACCCAATTTTCCACCAGAAAAACTTAAATCTTACAGTAAAAAACTTGGACTCTAACCCCTAACCCTTAAAAATAATTGGGATTAAACTGAACAAACAGTGATAAAACAAGGCAGAAACATTGAATTAATTTCCCTTTTTACAGATGTCAAATTAAACTAATCAAACTCACCCATACCCATAACTAATCTCTAGTTAAACAACCCCTCCAGGCACGTTTTCAGACCTATAAAACTAAGCTTTGAGTAATAATTTGTGTCTGATTTTCCACAGAAAAGTTTAATTACCTTGTTAAAAATTCTTAAAATGACATCTGCTTCTCCCTCATTGAAAAATGCAGAATTTCTCATCATGCACGTACTTTTTAGTTTTCTGCATCGCACTTGTGTTGAGTGACATTTTGAACCACGACAACTTCCAATCCTGTTGCAGTGTCACAAATCCTTGTTGTTACGCTCAGAGTTAAAGTAAGCACAGAGAAACGTTCCCTCCTCAGCAGACCAATGTGAAATCAGATTTCTGGTTTCACATCACGGTGAATTTCAAACGTCCAAGTGAAGCGAAACGGAGGGGATGTAACCTTTTCATGTCTCACCTCCTTCCTCCAGGTTCAGGTTGCAGGTCTCACCAGCGACGTGGTCGGCCTCACCATCGAGCTGAAGCCGAGGCGGCGTAACAAGCGCTCGGTGCTGTACGACCTGACGCCGGAGTACAGCAAGGCCACGGGGCAGGCGGCGGGCAGCTGGAGCCGCATGGAGGCGCGACACATCCACATGCTGCTGCAGAACGAGCTGTTCATCAACGTGGCCACGGCGCACAGCCAGGAGGGGGAGCTGAGGGGGCAGATAAAGGCTCTGCTCTACAGCGGCCTGGAGGCGCCCAGACACGGTGAGGAGTGATGGAAGCTGGGGAGGGAGGGAGGAAGGAGGGGGCTGTGGTGGGAAGGAGTTTTGTGAAATTCAAGAAACACACGAAAACACATGGAACTGCTTTATAAATGTGCAGGATCCGCTCTCACTTTAACTCGCTTTATTTCATTTTCTCCCTCCTTCAGAGCTGCCCACGCCTCTGGCCGGTCACTTCGTGTCTCCGCCTGTGAGAACCGGCGCCTCCGGGCACGCCTGGGTGTCCGTGGACAAGCAGTGTCACCTGCATTACGAGATCGCCGTCGCGGGCCTCAGCAGGGCCGACGACCTCGCCGTGAACGCCCACCTCCACGGGCTGGCTGAGATCGGAGAGATGGACGACAGCACCGCCGCGCACAAGAGGCTGCTCACCGGCTTCTATGGATCACAGGTACACGGGTGTAAACACAGAGAAACTAGATGCACAGATGTACAGAAAATACTTTAAATAAATCGCATTGGAAACACATCCTCACCTCCTCTCCTCTCCTCCAGGCTCAGGGAGTATTAAAGGACATCAGTGTTGAATTACTGCGACACCTGGACCAGGGAACAGCTTTCATTCAAGTCAGCACCAAGCTCAACCCCCGAGGAGAAATACGAGGACGGGTATGTGAAGAAAAGCCACAAAACCAACACTTTACTTTCATTTTACGCATTTGAATAACACGTTTATCCACATGTATTCACCATAAGTGAAGTTATTAAGGTCACGCATTTCTTTCTTCACAAAGGTTTAGTTATTTATTTAGATGTTTTCATATATTCGTTTCTTAATTTGAGGCAGTTTCTCCTGTAAAATAGAACAGGCAGCGTCCGTCACCTGAGCTCTGAGAGTCCAGAGGTTTTAGAGCCACAGATCCTGAAACCATTGGAAAGGAGGCAGAAAAACTTTTACTATCACAAAACAACATTTTTTTTTTTTAAAGTACATTTTTTTTGGGCTTTTGAGCCTTTATTGGACAGGCTAGTAGAGAGAGACAGGAAATGGGGAATGACATGCAGTAAAGGGCCGTCCGATGCGGGACTCGAACCGGGGCCGACTGCAGCGAGGAGGGGGGGGGTGCCTGCTTAGACCACTACGCCACACGATGCCCACAAAACAACAATTTAATCAAGCATAACACAATAAAATTTTGATGACATTTTGATGCTATTAGCTCCGAAGACAATTACACATTTGCAATTTCAGTTTAATGTTAAATTAAAACAAATGTCTTTAAATTTTAAAGTTGTTGCATCATGTAACTGTGAGCGTCTCAGAGCCAAGCCAAAGAAAAAACAAAAACAAATTCACTCCCACTCTGCAGATTTCCCAGATCCTAAACATGTTAAATCAGAAGATTAGATTAAAGAAAGAAGAAGAGGAGGAGGAGGAGGAGTAGAGGAGTCCTCTGGGCCTCCTTCAACCATCTGAGTGTTTATGTGTCTGTGTGATTGCTCACTTATCGCTCACTGGCCCACACAAACACACTTTCACTGGCAGGTGCTGTCTGCCTGCGGAGACTTTGTTGAAAAGTAAGAAGTTTTATTGGGGTTCAGAAAACACACAAACGCAGACCACACTCGCCCACAAACCTATTTGCAGCTTCGCAGGTGCACCGGTTTGATGAGCTCTTTGTTCAGCGGGGTCCAGCTGTTTTAATAGCAAACAGGTCCGACACATAAACAGCCATCTGCTGCGGGCGCGCACAAACGCTTCACTTAGGAACAATTAACGAGTCAGCTTGATACCTGCCTGCAGTCAAGGTGTGTCCGACGAATCTCCGATGTCCTAACCGTCTCTTCTCTCTTTCCTCTTCCCCGACACGCTTCCTCTCTCCAGGTCCACGTGCCGAACAACTGTGAGTTCGGGACCAGAGGGGACGTGGATGAGGCCGAGTTTGACGACCTTTTTGTGAAGGACCCGGAGGAGCTGAAGAAAGACCCTCACACCTGCTTCTTCGAGAACCAGCACCACGCTCACGGCTCCCGCTGGACGCCCAGCTACGACAAGTGCTTCTCCTGCAGCTGCCAGGTAAAGACGACAAACAGAGGCAGCAACCGAGTGTTGGTTTAAAACCCTCCGAGGTCGAAGGGTATTTTCTCGATTTCTGGTTCATTTCTTACATTTAAAAGGTTGCATATGACATCATCCCCAAGTGTTTATATCACAATTTTCAGAACAATCTCAGCTCTTTCTATAATGAGGCCCCTTCTTCATCCTCTTTGCGCTGTCTGCAGAAAGATAATTTGGCCCAAATGCTGCAAAACTGAAACCCCGTTTGTGAAATTCTCCAAATCTCTGGTGGAAAACGAACCTTTACTGATGTGGATGAATTGAAATGAGTTTACCAAAGTCTTAGGTTCATAATAAATAGTGCAATATATGAGTGAACTTGCAGATAAATGTTAATAAATGCTTCAAGTTGGATTTTGTAATATCAATATCATATCAAATTTTAGAGGCCTGCTTCGAGGAAACAGAAAGTTGAGAGTCAACAGATTTTAACAACATTCAAACCATATTTCTCCTCCGTATTATGGCGAATATATTAACAGAAACATCCGTCGACCTTCAGAGGTTTGATCAGCAATGATGCATGTTTTGTCACAAATAAAACTCACATTTTTCCCTGCAGAAGCGAACGGTGATCTGTGATCCAGTCATCTGCCCGGTGTTGACCTGCTCCAGGACCATCCAGCCTGAGGACAAGTGCTGCCCCGTGTGTGACGGTGAGACCCTCAAGAGATTTTTTTTTTTTTTTTTAAGCTGCACATGAGATGTATCAGTGTTTGCCGTATCGTGTTTTATAGTTGATATGCTGATTTGAGTCCTTTGGTTTTCTGTGGACGTTTTTATCCCTTTTGGGTGAAATCCCAGTTTTCCCCGCAGAAATCATAAAGTTGAAAACTAATTCTGCTTTTATGTCTCCATTTCCTTTTTCCTGCGCAGAGAGGAAGGAGCCCAAGGACATGAAAGCTCCAGAGAGAGTGGAAGAACATCCTGAAGGTATGTACCACCCCCCCCACCCCCCCCAGTCTCCGACTTGGCTTCTTCTTCTTCTTCTTCTTCTTCTTCTTCGTTTTTCCTCTGAAGCCCTCTTTTTTTCTCTTTTATTGTGTTTTTTCATACTTGTGCTTCTTTCTTTGAATTTCTGCCTACAGTTTAAAGTTAACTCTGAATCATTCAGGCATTTTCTTACTGACTGTCCTCAGTAACCTTTTTTTTCCCCTCTCTCTCTCTCTCTCTCTTTCTCTCTCTCTCTCTCTCTCTCTCTCTCTCTCTCTCAGGTTGTTACTTTGAAGGAGACCAGAAGATGCATGCCCCTGGAACCACATGGCATCCCTTTGTACCTCCCTTTGGCTACATTAAATGTGCTGTCTGTACTTGCAAGGTAAATATACACCAATAAACCAACTCACATCTGGCTGGATTTACTTTCCAAAAGCCCTTAATGGATCATTTATCTTGTATTAGACTCCAAAGAAACTGGGGCATAAATACATTTCTCATCAGTTCTTTCTTGGGGATTGTTCAGACTTTTCAAACTATTTGTCTGGGGGGGGGGTGAAAAAAAAGAATAAGTCAGCTAATCTAAATCTGCTGCTGATGCTACATCATCTTCTTCTTCGCAGGGATCTACAGGGGAGGTGCACTGTGAGAAGGTGACGTGTCCCGTGTTGACCTGCAGTCATCCCGTGAGACGTAACCCCTCCGACTGCTGTAAAGAGTGTCCGGAGGAGGAGAGGACGGCGGCGGGCCTGGAGCACAGCGACATGATGCAGGCCGACGGCCCCCGCCACTGCAAGTTCGGCAAGAACTATTACCAGAACAGTGACAACTGGCATCCCTGGGTCCCGCCGATGGGCGAGATGAAGTGCATCAACTGCTGGTGTGACGTGAGTACCGCTCACATTACAATACTGCTGCAATTACCTGAAATAAAATGTAAATTAGTGATTATTGAAATCGCTTGATGTTTTTTAAAAAGATCATTAGAACACAGATCACAGTTCAGAGTTCAAACTAAATTCTTGTAACCTAACAAAATAAAAGCGCTCCGATACTGAAGCCACCACTTCAGCAAATATGTTGAACTCGTGGAAGAAGCCTCCTTGATCTAATTGAGATTTAAAGCTGCTGTAATCAATATTTTTTATATGCAAATACAAAGAAATAACTATGTGTAATGTGAAACGTTTTGTCACCACAGAGAATTATCTTTAGTTCATCAATGTGAACCAAATCAGCTAAGAGCGGATATTATTAGACTTAAACACACCGTAAACCAACAGTTTTCTAACATGTATAAACTTTATAAGGTGATATAATAAAACTAAATTAATCTTCTTTTCACAATCAATCAGATTGATATCGACTAGTTTCTGGATAAATGTACAGTCTAGACTGTTCTTCCTCTTATTCTGACACTCCTGTCATGGTGTAAGAAACTCTGTGATCTCGAGTTTTACATGATTCCTGTCGTACCCTCAAAGTGTCTCTTTTTAACCCCTCCTTCCTTCCTTCCTTCCTTCCTTCCTTTCTCTTTCCTCCTTCCACAGCACGGTGTGACCAAGTGTCAGAGGAAGCAATGTCCAGTACTGACCTGCTCCAACATCACCCGTCCAGAGGGCTCATGCTGTCCTGAATGTGTTGGTGAGCAACACACACACACACCCACACACAAAGAGCTGCCTCAGGTAGCTGCTAACGTGGCTAAAACATTTGAAGCTAACCACCGGTATCAACGCGACACAAACATCTTACTGCTCGTGTCTTAATTTGGATTTTTCTGTTTCCCCACAGACTCCAAAGAGGAAGACGACCTGATGATGAAAGTTCCAGACAAAAGACGAACCTGGAGACACTGATCTGTGGGGAGACGCATACACAGAAAAACCCATTTCTACCATTTCTACCCATTGAAACCCTCACCCTCCCAGATGGACCCGAACCCAGAGCCGTACTGGGTCTTCCCTCCCACCCACCCACCCCCGTTATCAGCTTCAGGATTGTAATGAACAGAGAAGAGCGGAGACAGAGGAATATTAAATAATAATAAAATGAACAGACTCATTGAATGAAGGGATGAAGCTACGAAGAGGACCAACCAGACTTTATAAACCTGCTGCCTTTTTGCTTCCCGCCTTTCATTTCTGCTGGATTCTTTTTTATTTTTTCTCAGTTTTTTCACAGCAGCTCAACAGGACAAAAGGTGTAGATGTAGATATAGATATATATGTAAAAAAAACAAACAAACAAACAAACAAAAAACACAGCTGGTGATTGTTGTGAATGGGATTCTTGTGCTGTTGATGTTTGGGAGCTGGATTTTAAAATGGTGAATGTCGGTCAGACTGTGCGAGTTGTTGTTGTATTTCATTGACAGGGCTTCTTCTTGAAGTGCAGCCATAGCTACTGTAGCTCTCATCGCTCTCACTGGACGTAGTCAGGAAAGTGTTGCTTAGACTGTGTGAATGTGTGAGTGTTGATGTGTGTATGTGTTTTATTTTTATTTTTTTTATTGTTTTTAAAAACCAGAAAAGAATATGACTAATCAGCAATACAAAAGAAACACAATAAACTTAAAAAAATGCTGTTACTACATTAGCTGTAAAAATATAGTTCCACTCGATATCACTCGTGTCGGCGTAAGGATCAGGGGTGTTTCACTGGGGGAGAAGTTTGTCTCGACTTGCTGCCGTCTCAGCGTGACACTAACAAACACGAGCTTCGTCTTCACCTCCTGTTGATCTCATTTGCTTCTCTGCTTCGATTGTTCCTATTTCTGTTTCAAATTAAGTAATATTTTTATGGATTTTCTATCGTTGTCGTTTATGAATATGGAGCTGGTTTGTATTTTGTATTTATTGAATGGTGTGGAGACAAAATAAAAAAAGATGTTTGTCGGTAAGAGAGGGAATGCCTGTGGGTTTGTTTTGGACGCCGCCGCAAACCAGCTTCCACTAATAATCCCTCCCTTGTTTCCCTCTCTGCATTTATATCTTTGTTTTTCATCTGGATTTTAAGTTTTCCACTCTTCCACTCTCTCACTCTCTCACTCCTTCTCTGTTTCTCTTCCCTCACGGTTTTTCACATATGGAGCCGTGATTACAGAGGGATGACAGGCCAGACTGACCCGACTTAATCCTTTGTTTCTGTTTCTCCATTGTTCTGTCTTTACCTCTTTACCGATTCCCTTCGTCTCCTTCCACACTTTTTTACTCTTATCTGTAATTTTCTCCTGTTTCTTTTCTTTCCTTGTTACATCGTTCCTCCTCTGATCTCCTCACTGTCTTGTCATTTCATTTCCTGTTGTCCTTTTGCCATTTCTTCTCTTTTTACACCATATTTTCCTTTCCTTTCTTTCTGTTCCTTTCCTTTTTAAAACCTCCTTCTTTCCTTTCCTTTCCTTTCCTTTCCTCCTCAGACAGTCACCACATGTGTTCTGCAATGTTTTGTCCCTTACATATTTCCCCATGTACACACACACATACACACACACACGCACACACACAGAGTGCAGACAGACTGAAGCATAAACACATATGCGCAGATGTACACATGTACAAACGCCTGAATCAGAAACACACACATTGCCAAAGGGCAAGTAGAATTCTTTCAAATACACACACATGCATACACACACATCCCTGTCTTACTATATTCGTGGGGGCCTGTCATTGACACAATACATTACGTACCCCTTTACCTTAACCTGAACCTGAGTCTAATCCTAACCCTAGAACCAAATCCTCAAACAGCCATTTAAACTTGTGTGGGTCCAGCTTTTTGGTTCCCACAAAGCTGTGAGACACCAAAAGTATAGTCCGCTCCAGGTTTTTGGACCCCAGGAATACAATAAAACAAGCACACACACACAAATATATATATACTGTATATATATATATATATATATACAGTATATATATACAGTATATATATACATATATATATATGTAGATCTACTACTGCGCTCTGCTGGCCAAAACACAGTACTACACCAAAGGTGCTGATCAGCTGGTTGACGCTGCTTCTACCGGCACCTGTTGACCTCTCCCAGGCACAGAGCAGAGTCTGTTTGTGTAAATGTGCATGCATTCACACTAAAAACATGTTGGAAAGTCATCATCAGTGCAGCGGGGAGCGGTGTAAGAGGGTGGGGGTTGTCAGAGCCAGAAGGTGGAGGTCAAAGGTTAAGCATCCTGAGCTACAGTCTGTGGAAGACTATGAAGAAGCATGAGACATGTACCAGCCTGAGCCCTGCACCTGCACATCTGTTTGGCTCCCTGTGTGTAGGTGTGTAGGTGTGTAGGTGTGTGTGTGATTCTTGCTAATGCAACAATTGCATTCCAGAGCAGTCTCACAACTACACTCTGAATGTTTGAACATTTTTGTTATGGTATTCTCTTCATTCTAGCGTGAATGCTAAATTGTGAAATGTTTTTTTTAGCATGACAGAGGTTTATTGAAAAGAAAAGGCAGCTCACTGACACCTCCTCAGATGTTTGTTTAGTTTGCTGCTGATATAAAACATTTGACCACCACTGTGGTGACTTATTCTGCTTATTTATTACTGTAATTAAATTTAAATCAGTCGCATGTGATGAACTGGACTCTGGTCCCTCTTCTTCTTTGTGGTTGAAGAAAAACAGGACGCAAAGCACTTCACAAACACTGAAAGTCACTCACGAACATCATGAAACTTATTCATTCCCTCACGCACTCATGATGCTGTCTACAGATGATTAACACTTTAATGGTCCCACTGAGAAAATAAAGCAGTGGGAACTTCTGGGACTCATGTGTCCTCTTCTGCTTTACAAACCATCACCAACACCCTGTGGGGGTGTCAACAGATGTTCCTGTGCTTGAATTTGGCTTTGTTGAATAATTAGTACCAGTATCACCCTGTTTTACACAATTATCACTTCATCTTTATTGCCTACATCTAAAAATGTAACATCGAATTTATCACAGACTGTTTATGATCAGAAAACTACTCTTACCACAAATGAAAATTAAAAAAATGTATATATCACAAAGTTTGCATTTTCTTTTTCTGTGTTTCTCTTACAACAAATAGTGTCCAACTGTCAAATTTACACTACAAACAACTAGTGGGGAAGCATATTACAGGAAAGTTTGGGCGCTTTGTGTGCTTGTAATTCGGGGTGCGCATGAGAGTGTGCTACATGCACGTTCCAGGACTGGACTTGCAACAAAGTTTTAAGCCTAACTGTCACATTGAGCTAACCTCAGCTAACAGGTCTACCTTGCAATCTGATCATGTAACTGGCAGGCTGTTTCTTCAGTTATTGTTAGACTGACAACGATGATGATTTCAGGGTCAGGGAGGCGGGGACGACATAGTGGCAGCAGGAGTAGAGGATGAGCCACAAGAGCCTAAGGAACACAAGGGAGAGCAGCAGCACCAGTAACTGTGCTTGAGGTTTTCAGGTTTATAGCCTATAACAAGTACAGTTACTACTTCATCATCAGGACAGACTGGACAGTACAGTGACTCACCGTCATCTCTTGAAATAAAGAATGGTATTACGAGATGGAACGGGCTGGAGCTAGCTAGTTAGCATGCTAACTTCAGTAGATATCTCAGTTAACACTACATAAATGTCTTTGATATAACATTGTGATGTTTGAACGTTTTTACAAAATATCTACATATTGTCCCTTTAACTGACTAATTTCTCCCAAATTATAAAACAAGACGAGACCCATATCCGAGTCCCGACAACTGCTAACACACACACATTTGTCTCTCTATAACTGTGAGGACCCCTCATTGACATAATGTATTCTCAAGACCCTAACCCAAAACTTAACATAAAAACCGTAAAAAGTCTAACCTTAACTTTAAAATAAAGAATTAACCTTCATGTAGCTGTTTGAAGTACAACACCTTTCAGGATTTCAGGAATGTAACTTCCTGCCCTCTGATTGGACTCTGCTTATCAATTGGACTGTCACTGTCCAATCAGATTCAGAAAAAAAAAAAAAGTCAAAATTTGTACTTGAAACTTCAGTGTCACACACTGCGTGGAAACTTTAAGCACTGAGTTTTACACACAGTTTTGTGCTATCATTCAAGAAAAATATCACTTTTCAATTTATTCATTTATTCAGCGTCTCAAATTTATGCTCAGTGACCCTCTTCCCAAACAAAGCACTATGGATCAATGTTTCTGTTCTATTCAACTAATTTATTTTACATCTAAGTTTTTACCATGGAAGTGAACCATCTTACTAATCAAATAGGATCTTTGACAGTAAACTCAAAACCTCTGACACTGTCAGACTTACCTCCGGTACCAGGTGGGTCAGGGTTTGTTTTGTTTGGGGACCTGCGTGATGAAGAGGAGATGATACTTTGCTCGCGCATCTGTAAAAAGAACCAGCGGTTTGTTATGGTTGGTTCACTGTCGCCATTTTTCTTCTTCTTCGTTTTTAAGGAAAATTGCAACCACTTACTGTTGAATTGAATTTTTATATACCACCGCCATCTTGCTAAAACTGGCGCCAACGCTGCCCAATCAACGCATGAGGACGGTGAATGTAGCTAGCTCTCGTTAGCTCTGTGTCATCCCCGCCCCTTCCGGTTCAACCGACGTCCAAAGGTATGAAAACGTTTTTGCGTGTTTGTTTGCTCCCAGTGTGCTTTTTTTCTTTCTGCTGTTATACATGTGACTCTGGCCAAGACTCGACCCAGTCTGGGCCACGATATCCGGTGGTCTGACGAGTTTTGCCGCTTTGTCGAAAAATGCTAACGTAACTCGAATCGATAGCAGATGCTAATAACCCTAAACCGCATGCGCAGAACCGCCGAGTAACAAATCTCGACAGGTAGCACAACTTGCCAGAACACAGGGCTGAGATAAGGTGTGACTGGTGGCATGAGTCCAACAACCAACAAATAGACCTGGAGCCTGTAAAAA